ATAATATTATAAAGGTTAAAAAAAGGTAGTTAAATTTATAGTTATTAATAGTTAACTAGTTAATAAGGTGAAGTAGGAGTATAAGTGTAGTAGTACCCTTGCGTGTAGGCAAGAGTAGGAATTCTGCCAGTAGGCGGTGTATCACATGACCTACTGCCTCTGGCCGCATTACCCATATGCCAACACTCGCATTTTGACAGTACTAACTATCATATACGTAAGAGTCGGAATCCTCTTATACCAGGCCAAGTGTGGCCCATACGACCGGCAGACGACCTTGTTGACCGCTATAAGTGGATCACGGACTTCTTCCCTTGCATGGGTTTATTCCCGGGGCTCAATAGCGAGGTGGTGACCGGACTTGGGTGCTCGGCCTGCTCCCAGAAGCCTGGGTTGGAATACTGATATGTGACCATAACCCCTGCAGGCTCGGAGGTCTCGAACGGTCACTCCCAGCGGCCACGGGCTCGTGGCGTGCTCAGGGGCTGCTTTTTCAGTCCAAGTACTCCGTACTGTGACTGGCCATGACCCTTGAATGGCAGCTCTCACCGTCGACTCCCGAGAGGGTTGCCGATGCTTGGCAGCCGAGATAACGCCGATGACAGTCCCCAAACGAGCAACTCTGATAATGTCGTCGCCCACGTATTAATAACAATCAAGCTCTTACGCAGTATTAACAAGTGGCACGTCTGACAACATAGTCAATGGCATGCGGCTTATTATCAACGATAAGGAACGCCAACTTTAGACTGCAGAGAAACGACTCTGTAACGATCCTAGCGCGGAGCAACACTCCCACTTACGGCAACGCGTAGAAGCTCCAACAGTGCGGAGCCTGTCGCCGGGTTCAACCGGTGTGGAGATGGTATTGAGCCTCAACTGGGATAGTCCCCTCACTTGAGGGGACTCATGACTTTAAGAAACTCACTCACTGCACTGCACTATTCTTGGTGGATCCGGCTACCCTTCTCCATGGACCAACACAAGCAGCATAGACGATGTTGGAGACTTAGTGCACTCCACGGTCACCATGTTACCACAGGTGTTCTCTCAGAATAAACATGACCGCCCACGCCTTGATACGCTGTCGATTGCTGCTGAAGATGAACGATATCTCTGGATATAGCGATAAGGCTTCGAAAGAATTGACCTAACCACGCTTGGGGCGCGCCTTTTTCCAAGCAAGCGCTTTCAACTGCCCTCAATGATGCTACGCCAAGTCCAACGGCGCGGACCCTTGTCTACAACACAAAATCCCCACACTCCGACCTGGGGTGATTGGCATGATTCCATGTCGATATTGGCTGCCTGCCCCTCATCGCCCAGAAACCAAGCCACAGAAACCTGCTACGGCATTTGCTCTATCGTGTACATTTTGCTACGCACAGATTCGACAGCAGTGGAACCTCTGGGGTTGATGCTTTCCCCGGGGGGGAAAGGGGTTGACCATGCTATCCGGGATCCAGCTTTCGGTTCGCGTCTAACCGCACAAGATCCCCTTATGGTACAAGAGTCCCGGCCCATCCTCGTGCCCGCATCCCACCCCGGGAGCAGCCGCGGGCCATAAGTTTGAAGAGTCTCGCCATCGCTCTGAACCTTTTCGCGCCTGAAGGACCCTCTCGCTCTTTCCTCTCGAACTCCCGGCAACATTGCCAACTTCCCGCCCCTCGAGGAATGCCGCATCCATGAGCGCCTCAGTCAAGCAACCAATGGCCACCGAGGCCAAGTCCGTGGGCCAGGAGCTGGCCAGCGTCCTCCCCAACGATGGCATCCGCTGGTGGAAGAGGAAGCACCTCCTCAAGCTCAACTTCTGCATCGTGTCGTTTATGCTCTTCACCAGCTCCAACGGCTTCGATGGCTCCATCATGAACGGCTTCCTCGCTCTGCCTCAGTGGCGTGAGTTCATGGGCAACCCCACAGGTGCATGGCTCGGCCTCATCAACGCCATGTACTCCCTCGGCGCCGTAGTCGGGTTTCCCCTCTGCGCTATGCTCTGCAATCGTTGGGGCCGTAAGCTCGGCCTCTGGCTCAGCGTCGCCTTTGCCGTGGGCGGCACCGTACTGCAGACGGCCGCGCCCAACGTGGCGTCCTTCATCGTCGCCCGTTTCTTCATGGGCGTCTCGCAGGGCCTTTCTGTCGGGGCTCCGCTCCTGATTGCCGAAAACGCCTTCCCCACGCACCGTGGTATCGCCTCCAGTGTTTACAACTCAGGGTGGTACATCGGAGCTATCGTCGCCGCTTGGGCGGTAAGAACTTTCCGCCGATCCAGAATCGGTAGTCTCAATGGCTGATTTCCGCTTTGACAGACTTTCGGTACGAGAAATATGCAAGGCAATATCTCGTGGCAAATCCCCTCCGGGCTGATGGCATTGCTGCCCCTCATGACCGTCCCATCGCTCTTCATGATGGACGAATCTCCCCGTTGGCTCGTCTCGATGGACAGAGCCGACGAGGCACGTGTAAATCTCGCTAGAGCCCATTGCGGTGGTGACATCAACCATCCTCTGATCGCATTCGAGATGGCCGAGATTGAGGAGACCTTGAAGGCCGAGAAGGAGGCCAACGAGAAGACCTCGTGGGCTGATTTGTGGTCCACGCCCGGAAACCGTCACCGTCTCTGGATCTGTGTATCTCTGGGCATTTACGCGCAGTGGTCTGGTGAGAAAATTTTGATCGTAAGCGTGTTCTGTTCAGTCTACTCACATCCACCTTCCAGGCAACGGTGTCGTCAGCTACTATCTCGCAATCATCCTTGAATCTGTTGGCATCACATCTGTCACCAACCAGACTCTCATCTCAGCCTGCCTCCAGATTTGGAACCTTATCTGGTCTGTTGCTGCCTCTGTCTGCGTCGACAGAGTTGGCCGCAAAGCCCTCTTCATGGCGAGCGGCGTCATTATGTTGATCTCGTACATCATCGTCACCGGCCTGTCAGGCAGCTTCGATGCAACCAAGCATGGTCCCACTGGACTTGCAGTGGTTCCTTTCCTATTCATGTAGGTGCCACCGAGTTTTGAGTCCGTTGTGTCCGTCAAACGAACTAAAACAGGGTTCCATAGCTATTTCCTCGGCTATGATATTGCCCTTACACCACTAGTCATTTCCTACCCAGTTGAAATCTGGCCCTACCAGCTGCGAGCCCGCGGACTCGCTGTTTCCCAGATGGTGTCGCTTGGCGCCATCTTCTTCAACACCTTCATCAACCCCATCGCCCTCGACGCCATTCAATGGAAGTATTACTTCGTGTTCGTTGTCATCTTGGTGGCCATGCTATTCTCGGTTTGGTTCACGTACCCCGAAACGCGCGGCCGCACGCTCGAAAGCATCTCCTGGCTCTTCGACGGCGAAGGCGCCAACGCTGCCATTATCATGGCCCAAGACACTTTGAAGAGCACAAACATACACATTGAGGATTCTTCCCCGAACGAGTCTCAATCTCAAACCGAGGAGAGGCGTACGTGAGTGTTATTGGTCGCTGCGCTATTGGAGTGGACAAGACAGCAGCTCTACCCTGGCTGTACAACGGACGCTACTGCAAACTGCATGGGCTAGTTCTAGAGTTGTCGGGACTAATTGAAGGAACGGTTGAAGCCTGATATTTGCCAAAGTCTGCGAGTTACATCGAATAATCTCGTCAATGCCAAGAGCTATGATCATATTTGGAGCCCGCTCTCGCTCATTTGAAATCACCATTTTGGTATATTTCCTCGTAGCGTCGGCAACTTTTTTCACCTTCACCTTTCTTTAATCTTCCCGGCTTTCTACAGCCAGATCAAAATAAGCGGTTGAGAGGCTGACTGTGTTCTGTTCCCGCGCGTTCCCACGACTATGTCATGATCATGAATGGGATTTCTGTTGGCGGAGAACTTTCCAATTATCAGCCAACCAACTGAAGGCGTTTGGAGTAAAGTGGGCTTCGACAGTGCAGTGCAGGATACAAAATACCGATACCCACTAAAGTAACACAAGACGCCTCACTTGATCTGGTTTAGAGCGTCACTGGTCGGGGAACATATCCCTAATGAGCACAGCTTCGAATGTCCGAGTGAGTAGAACCTCTTAGATTTCTCATGTCATCATGATCAAGCTGTGAATCGTTACGCAAGGATCTTTGAATCGGAAACAATCCTTCGGCATGATTGATGAGCGCAATTGAACATGGAGTAATAACCTCCAGCGCTTATCGCATTCACTTACTCGCCAAGGTATTTGTTCCTTATCCATGGTGAAATGGAAAGCTTGACCAGCATGGAACTTTTAGGTTCTGGAACCGTTATGAATTCAGTATTAGTAGTGGTAGTAGTTAATGTCAGGGAATCCAATCGAATGACGAAAGGCGCTTGCGTAGTCTACATAAACATCATACAGATATTTTTTCTGTGAAACTAGGGGCCAGAGTCCTCGTGTTGCTACACACTAGTGCTTCTGGGCCCTCTTTCTACGACCATCTAAACAGTGAGAATACAGGGGTCCCTTTATAGTCCTCAAAAAAGGGCATACTTGAAGTGTCATTCTGCATCTTGTGATAAGGTTTGAGTAGGTATACGGATGGTGTCGAGATCGATGGCGAGATGTGGAAGGTAAGGTGGTCAGTATCTGCAGGGCTTCAGCACCAGCTAATATTAGTGGATATGGGCAAGCGGCATATGCGATGTGTAACAGGAAGTGAGAGAGACGTCAATGATACACTTGTCGAGCCTGGCTGCCTTTGTCACATAGCCAGACAGCTACACCAAGTACTCACCCGATTATACAATGTTTATGTTAAAGAAGGGCAGTTGTAGATGTCAGGCGGGGTGTTAGCTCCCTTCCAAAAGTCAGAAGCAGCACCTATATCTGTTATCTTCCTACGTGTAGGTTAACCAGAGGGCAGGTTATGTCCCCCTGTCTAGCTGTAGGCTAGAGATACGTAAGTTAGCAGGGGTTCATTTCATGAGCAGGGGCAGGAGGCGTGATGTGCGGGTAGAAGGGGATGTTCCGTAGCAGAAGCGCAATAAAATCCTTGAATGTAGCTATGTGCGCCCAGCTAAGAATGGTGCATGGATTCGTTATGTGCAGTAAAAAGTAATTACAAAAGAAAGATTAGACATAATTATCGTCAGAATATAAACGTCAGTCCATCCAGATCGTTCATCCCCCGCGCACCATTCCTCAAAAGCCGCTGAAATTCCCTTCATTCGACCCTTAATTTAATCTAACCACACTTTCGCATGAGTGACGTGACAGCTTAGCCGACGTAGCTGACAGTGACGGTGCTGCCGCTGGCAGAAGACCTAGCAAGGACAGTGCGGCCGCCGTCGGGCGAGATGTCGATGATGTCGGAACCGGCAGGGGTAGTCGAGCCACCGGAGCCGGAGGCGGCAGCACCCGTGAACTTGATGGTGCCGAAGTCGGCAAGGGTGACCTGGCTGCCGCCCTCCTGGAAAGCCTCGACAATCCACTCGGCGTTGGTCTCGCAGAGGGTGGAGGGCGTGCTGGTGAAGGTGTGGGTGACCTTCTTGCCGGTGGTCAGGTTCTGGAGCGTGGCGACGCCCTTCTTCTTGGAGGACGCGTCGACGGTCATCTGGATCTGGTCGCCGACGCTGACGTCGAAGTTGCTGAAGCTGTAGGCGTAGTCGGGGATCCACTCGTACCAGGCGTCGAAGGTGCCATCGCCGTAGAACGAGACGCCGGTCTGGAGGATGGCGGTCTGGCAGGTGTCGCCGTCAATTCCGACCCAGGCGGAGGCGGCGTCGTCATTGTTGCCGCTGACCTCGGGGACCGTGATGGTGCCGGTGACGTGGTTGTAGCCGTTTCCGATCTTGACAGCGCCGGCCCAGTTGCTGGAGTATTCGACGTTCTTGACGTCGGTGGAGTTGAGAGAGAGGGTATCAACCGACTCGGCGGACAGCCTCCTGTTGGGAGCAGAACCGTGTCTGGCGCGGGCAGAGCGAGGAACGAGGGGGGAGTAGTCGCGCTGGACGAGCTTGGTGCCAGGGGCGGCGGCAACGATGCCAGCAGCGGCGAGGGCGAAAGCGGTGAACTTCATCTTGATTAGGAGGGCTGGGAGGAAGAATGTGATAGAGTTCTAGTTGGCTGGGCTCTTGCGATTGATGCTGGCGATGCTGAGTAGAATCCTTCTCTCTTGGCACTCGAGTTCGGCCATCTTTATAGTCGGTTGAGACGCATTCAGCGTAGCCGCTAGTCGGCGGTTCTCCATCAGCTCCATCGCATCAACATTGAAGCCGCTATACTCCTAATCGCAGGTCAGTAGATATCACGGCGCCGTCTTGCCGGCGGGACTTTTGCATCATGAGCAAAGCCCCAGTCAAACGGCATGGAGATGGGTCACCAGCTCGGCTCCGTACTCATTCTTGGCCAACCTCCTCCCTAATCGGGAAACATCGTGAAGTTGTTGCTGTGGACATTGATTGGAGGGTCCGCATCTGCATACTACTTTCCTCTTTAAGATCGTCTTACTGTACAGGACCATCCCTTTCCGTAGCTCAAGTGCCGATTGACTTTGGGGCAGTGGGGATTATCGACAGGAGGATGAGGCGAATCGTCGATTGGCGATTAGGCTGTTGGCCGGGGACTTGGCGCTAAGCTGCCAAGACTGGGGTCTGCCGATGATTGCGACGTGACTGAGGTTCCGGTTAGGGTAATGGGCATGATGATCGTTGCTCACAATCTCGGACAGAGATACGCTTTGAGAAAGACGCGTTGCGTTTTCTCCGCCATACCTACGGGGTCTAAATCACGGAATTGCCGCAAGGGACAGCACCATAATACTCCGGCCGGCTATTCGGCACCGTGGTATCCACTCTGGTGATACCATGACCCATGATGGATGGACCGAGGTAGTCAGTCACCTACTACTAACGGAAGAATTGCTAATACTTCCAGCATCGAAGACTCTCTCCAAACACACTGTTCTCAATTAGTGCGCAGGCGAGAGAGCAGTAAGTCCAGTTATGGACCTGCATTCATCATTTAAGGAGGTCGAGAGGTGAACCCTCGACTTGCTTGCTTCCGATTACAACATGTGAGGGTCAAGTCACAAATGAAAACGTCGTCTGTAACACTTCTCGACTGCATTATCTGGTTCCTATCTGCCATCCTATACTTCGGTCTCTATCGTTGAGAGTGGTAGTATTGCCGCTGTAATCCGTAACTTTGCAGCTGCTAGGTGTTGATTGGAACGGGGATGATAACAAGCATTTTGCGATAGGCACTGCCGATACAACCTCCCTGACCCCTGACAGTAACGAATTAGCTGTCGTAGGCCTTATCGGACAAACAATAGACAGCGTTGCATTCAAAAAAAAAAAAGAAAAAAAAAACCGCTAACAGCCAGCTTACCAATCGAACCACATAATTTTGCGAATAGCTTCACTGCAACTAAACGAGTTGAAGGCCAAATTTAGCTTGGCTGTTCTCAATGCATGGACATGCAAGCCGGCTCCTCTTACGATGACTCAGGGAAGCAACAATACTCTGACACGGCCCGAAAAAAACACAGTATCGGAATCATGCCCAATACTCAACATAATAGAAGATGGTTTCTAGAAAGAAACAATACCATGGAATCTCGTAATTAACCTCCTGTTCTCGATGCAACTCCGACTGTAGATGAAACAACCTCCTCTACGCGAAATCAAACCGCATTTTCTATTTTAATCTATACCAAACATGGAAAAGGCGCAAAGCTGGGAATTAGTAGACTCGCTTGACTCCTTTCTTGAGTTACAACATTGTCAGATGGGTTCCAAATCATGACCGTCCAACTCCCAAAATAGCGTCAAAGTAGGTTTGCCTGTTCTTGGTTAGGTAGTTGTGGTCTTTGAGTTCACCACACCGCGCAGCTATGGCACGGACAGGTATCAACGCACATCAGCGCGATCTACACTCTTCCACTGCCAGACCCAAACTTGTGGTGCACTCCAATCCATGATAAGAGCTAGACTATAAAACTAGCATTCCTGTAGGCTTTTGCTTCGGAGATGGATAGGAAATGTCAAACTTCACGTACAGGAACAAAGCGTCGCCAACTTCGTGCATCGTGCTTGTGGATGCGGTAATATAAGGCTTTTGTTACGAACCGAGGTAGCTTGAACTATATATCCAGAATACAAACTATGTAGCTGCGTTCCCACCGTGTGGGCGCGTTCGTATTGCATCAACGTGCTATAACGCCCTTGAAAGGTGGGTAGACATACAACTAGACAGACTCTTAGACTAGATAGTTTTATACCTAAATTAGGAAAGCAGAGTTCACTTGAACTTCCGGACCACAACCCGGGTAGTCCACACCTTACTTATTTCTTTTTCTCTAGCCCCCTACACCCCCCTCACACATGACCATGTCTCCCGATGCCTCTTTTGACTCCTCTTAGCCTGTCTTGGACTACTCTATGGCACTGACAAGGCACTCCTTACTACATTGTCGCGCAAAAACGCCGCCGTTAGTTGCGGCAGCACAACTAACGCCTTATATCACTTCACCTCATCGTGACATACATAAAAGAGCCTACGCGTTGTAACTATATCTCTACAAGGCGAGCCATGTCCGTAGGTATCAGAATGTCTATTACGTGGTACATTGATGGGTTTAGTCTCTCTAAGCCCTCATAATGTAATATCACACTGCGCAAAAACCCGATACGCGGTTCCCCCAACTCATGCCACATTTCGATATCTTGATTCAATATAAAATTATTGATACCGCGTCACGTGGGGTATAGAGCGTTAATTACCACCCGTAACTAACAACATCGTTTTTGCGTGACACTGCCACACCGCGTGCCTTAGGACATCCATATCCAAGCTTGGCATTACATAGCGACAAACAATACTGCCTTTTCCTCTCCCCGAAAGGCCTTTTTGACAATAATACCTACCGATTTCAGGGTATAATGTCTTCTCTCTCACGAAAAGATAGCGTTGTACGTAAGAATCATAGCAATAATCTTTGGAATATAGACAACAACCGGGCCCGGGAGAACTGGGCTGCCGGGTTTGCCTGGCAGCCCAGCCACTTCTATCCAGCTGCTGGATACTTCACCTTCTTCCTTCCTTTCCCCTTCTTCGGCCAACTATAGATATCATCAACCGAGAAACTGATGGTTCATCCTGCCGAAAGGCACCACCCACCTGACGATTTACCAGAACATTGCATTGATACAGCCACTAGCCTTGGCAGACGAAGAGGATACATAGTGCTGGCCTTATTACGCAAGAGAAAATGATTGTAACATCGTTCACGTGATATTGGTTATATATTTGGCAAACGTTGCTTGGAAGACGACAGACTTTTCAATATGTGTAAATTAGAATTAGAACTCCTTCAGCCAGCTTCGACTTTTGGACGACTGCTTTTGCAAAACACAGAGTGTTTCCCGTCTCGTAAAGTGTCAAGCCTTTGCAGTATGTATGTATGCTGAACGCTGCACTCTGTATGTAGATCGACTGGTCCTTCAGTCTTGAGTAGGGGGCATACGATGTAGCTAACGTCAGGCAAAAAAAAAAAAAAAGGCCTTTGTTTGTCTTTGCAGAAATGAGTGTTTGGTTTTGGCAATGACGGAAACAAGCCGAGACTCCCAAGGGGGCTTCCTTGTCGTAGATTGCTCGCAGTGGATGACGTATGGCATGACCACTATACAAAGGTGCCACCGTTGTCTATTTAAAGCTTCCAGTTATTTGCTGACGCCATACACCCCGGTCAGGGCGTTCAAAATATGACCGAAAGGAACCTGTCACGCGGCAGTTTCAAAGGCGCCGGTAATACAGGTGTTACGATCTGCTTGCCGGGTTGCATGAGAAGATGTCCTCAGCGAGATCACAGCTGGTACATTTACGCGGAGTCTAGTTTCACTACGATAATTCCTTGCGATTCTAGCATCACGCAACACTGATCTGCAGCGTGTTTGACTCTTGGGTCTCTCATCATATGTTGATCTCGCCGTTTAGACGGCGGTTATGTCAACACTGGAAGAATGATGAAAGTGTTTGTCGGTCATGGCTCAATACTTTATGCAAACAAACTTTGGTTGTTTCTCATCTGATGGGTCAGAGATGAAAATAATGACACAGCGGTATCCTCTTCAGAATAAGAGGCGGGACTAGAGCGCACCTGGCCTTCGCATCTTGGCACTTCTACCGTAGGCAATTTGTCGGTCCGAGGTTTAACCCAGGCCGTACTGGTTGAACAAGGTACTGCGTAGGTGTATATCGGAGCTCCCAAGGGACACTTCCTTACGGAGTACATGCAATAGAATACGTAAGGATGATCTTGAATGACAAGACACTGATTGCCGAGTAGCCGTTCAGCTGCACCGCCATTCCTCAACTTCAAACAAGAACTTGCAGCCGAGTCCACAAAACGAGTTCCTAGGGGGGAGACCTGCACCGTTCGTTGGATCCCAATGGGAATCTGTCTCCATTTCGCCAAGTCTCCCGGCCTTGTTTTCGTTACGTAGTACGTGGCCGGCTTGGACACCTTCCTGTATGGTAACCGGTGTGGCTGCAGTCCCTTGACAACAAGCAAACCCCGAGTTTGCGTTTCCGAGCTCCGAGAAGCGCGACGGATGCAGTGGACCATTCTTCCATCCCGCTTAGCTTCCTCCTTTTTCTTCCCCTTCTTCGCCCCCCCCTTTTTTTCTGCCAAGTATTGTGCTCTGTGGAGTCCGGGGGGCAGCGGCTAGCTCGGAGAAACCCCGATCGATACGTAGGCCGACGGGGGTAGCCCTGGTGACCTACCCTGATAGCCGATATCTGTTGTATTCCTGGACAGAAACGCGTCATTGAAGCGTGAGACTCGTTCTACGATTTTTCGCTAGAGATACCATAGAAGTGTACCATCGGTCCCATACCAAGCGAAGGGACCCCAAAGGCCAGCCAAATTACCCTACCTCACGCTTAACGTCATGAAGGATAAACATGCTCTTCAATGCCTTCTTTCTTCCACGTTATGTACAGTTTACCTTAGTTTTATACATGAGTTACTTTTAAAGCTAAAGATTAGAGATGTTTAGTTTTAGTGACTTGCGCGCTCAGCAGGAGTGTGTAAAAGTTCAGCAAAATCACTACTGCAGGCTTCGGAAACGTGCCAGGGGTGTGCCCCCTTGCTGCATTGTGCCCCTGTCGTGACACTGGCGCGGGTGCAACCGACTACCCAAGGGTGTTAGTTAGCCTTTGTCAAAGCTAAACACCCCCTCCTTACAGAGAGGGCAAAAAAATAGGGTTACTACTAGGAAAATAAGGTTACCACTTGTCCTAACCTAGTCCTACTTTTTATTATATTTTTACTAAAAATAAGTAATTATTTAGATATATTATTAATAAATATTAATAGTAACTAAACTACTTATTTTACTTTAACCTTTTAATATACTTTACTAATATAATAAGAAT